CTCCTGCCCCGCACGCCCCCTCCGTGCCGCAGCCGCCGCCTCCTTGACTCCCCACCCATGCCCAGCGGACGGCCCGGAGCAGTGTGAGTTGGTGCAGAGACCGCGGTACCGCAGAGGCCCGCACATCTGCTTCGACTACAACGCAACGGTGAGGAGGGGAAGCGGCGAACCTGACCTCCCGCTCAGCTAGTGAAACACTGTGTGCGCCCAGGCCGACCAATTCCTTGTCTCTCCCCGCAGGAAGATACCTCAGACTGTGGCCGTGGAGCCTCCTTCCCGCCGTCGCTGGGCGTCCTGGTCTCTCTACAGCTGCTGCTCCTCCTGGGCCTGCCGCCCCGGCCACAGCCTCAAGTCCATGCACATGCCTCTCGCCGCCTCTGAGCGCCCCCCTCCACCCTCACCTCCACCCCGGCCTCCTCGCCTCTCCCTCCCACTCCTGCCCCACACTCCCCGCCTAGAGCCTCGTCCCTCCCTCACTGAAGGACCTGAACTCGCCAGGCCCCGAGAATCTGCACCTTTGGGTGGGGGAGTCCTAAAGGAGAGCACCACTGGTCTTTGGCATCCAAGCCACGTCTCACTGCTGAACTGTCCAAGTGTTCCCAGCTTCCCACTGGATTTACCCCAGTGGGCTGGGACAGGGAGGCCACGTGTACTGATGCCAAACCAGGCCCCCGCTGCCTGCCCTGCCTGTAGGTTCCCTCTGTGTGAGGGACCCTGCCTCAGCTGGACTTCTGTAGCCTGGCCCTTCTGCCCCACCCAAACCCAAACCTGGTTTCCCTGAAAATAATGGAGAAAGGTGAGATGGGCAATTTGAGGCCTGTGCATCCCAGCGTAAATCCTGGCAGGACAGAGGTCTTGTGGCAGTCCCCCATGGACTCCTGCCCCTCAGGCCTACGGCCATGTTCCCCCCACCCAAAGCCCTGCAGGTGTCAGACAGTCAGTGGCATCAGTTTAGACACAACCCCATAAACACCTGGAACCCTGAGGGTAGAAACTGGACTCACATTAGACATACTTCAGAGGGTACACATACAAACACAGACACACACCATGGGGTGGGGGCTCACAAACACAAAGCCTTACACGGGCAGGGGGTTGGTGGGAGGGTTGGTATCTGCACACTTCATCTGCTCACCACCTGCCTCTAATCTGAGCTGCAGCCCAGCTGGTCCTCCATCTCTAAAGCTGAATGTCAAACAGTGCCAAATGCTGGGGCAGGGGGTGAAGACCCCTCTGTCCTACCCCTAGCCACCAGTGTCCCCCAAGTGCCCCTCACCCTGCCAGGTGCTCAGTATAACCATTTCTCACTAGTATCAGGCCCCCAGTGGGACTACATGCCACTGCCTGCACCCCTCAGCAGAGGAATCCCCAGCAGACATCGCCCTTTGCCTTAGCAGGGGTGACTTGGTCTCTCCTGGCTGGGCCATCTCACGCCCAATCTGGCCCTTACACACTCAGGCCTGTGCCCACTCCCTATCTCCTTCCCACTCACTCACACACATACACACTCACACTCCTGTCCCCAGGAGGCCAAACTGCCCCTCCCCTGCTGAACACACACTTGCACACACATACACATGCACACACACACTCTCTGTACACACAGAGGCTGGGCCCCAGCACATCTCTTCACATCATTCATTCTGGTCGTTTCCCCCAAAGGCATCCCTGCCTGGGGGGCCAGTGGGAGAGTGAGGGCAGGGGGGGATGGAGCCATGGAGCTCAGATGGACTGGGAGGAGGGGGGAGGGTGATGCATTAATTAATGGCTTCGTTAATTAATGTAATGTTGCTTGTTGCTTTCTCAGTGTGTGTGTATGGTCCATGCCTTCTGCTGGTGCCATGGTGGACGTCCATGATGTGCACCTGGCCTGGATGCTGGTTGTGTCCTGCGGGGGCGTGTGTGTAACTGTAGTGTAGTCAGGTGCTCAATGGAGAATATAAAAATAAAAAAGAAACAAACATATACAGAAAAATAAATATATATTTTAAGTTTTAAAAACAGAAGAACAGACAAAATAATCCCCATCAGGTAGTTGTCCGACCCCCTGCTGGGTCTGATCCTTCTCATTGCCCACCTGACCTGGCTGTCCCCTCACCTCGGGCTGGGGGACTAGGGGGGCCATTTCTTTTTCTCTGCCCTTTTTTTTTTTGTTGTTGCTCTATTTTGTACAGACAAGTCAGAAAAACAACAGCGACAAAAAAGTCAAGAAACTTTGTAAAATATTGTGTGTGTGATTCCTTGTAAAATATTTTCAAATGGTTTATTACAAAAGATCAGTTATTAAATAATGTTCATATTTTCACTTCAAACTGTTCCCATCCACTGTGTTGGCCTGAGGGTGAGGACTGGGTAGTTATGAAGACAGGTGGCCATGACCTCAGGGTCCCACTGGCCACTCTGCTTGGAGGAAAGGCCATGGCAATCCAGGTCCCCTGTGGCCATAGGGCATGATGATTCCAGTGCCTACTTAGTGCCAATCCCTTAACATATTTTGTCTCATACCATCTTCCAAAAACCTCCAGGAAAAAAGCTGTCTTTAAAAAAATAAATAAATAAAATTAAAAAGACCTCCCAGAGTCTCAAAGCCAGGACCATGGAGGAAAGAAGACAGAGATGAGATGCTGATTTAGGTGCTGGTTAGGTAGGTGGTTCAGCCATCAAGTCAACCACCCAGGCTTGATGGGCAGGTCCTCCAACTGAAATAAGGTTGGCCCCTTGTAGTGTCCTGAACCTCAGCACTCAGGGGCCTAGTCCTGCTGTCCGGAGGAGGATGAGATCTGGCTCACCTACAAACCTGGACTCATCCAGGGGAGGCACCAGGCCACTGCCTCTACTGCTCCTCAAACTGGAGCTCATGCAAAGTCAGCTTTTGCGAATCCTTTCAGGTCTCTCTGTCCTGCAAGTCCTTTACCCTTGTTCATTTTAATCCCAACCTTCTTAATAGCTAACCCTAGTCGGTGTGACCTTTGCGTTCTTTTCATGAGAATTATAACCTCCACTGCAGGGGTATCCCAGCAGGTGCTGTCAAAGCCCATTCTCCAAAACATGCAGAGCTGGGGATTCTCACTCTGCACTCACCTGGCTGGCATTCCCCTGAGTCCTCACCACAGCCTTAGTGGTGGGTACTAGTGTATCCTCATACTGCAGATGAGCCAACTAAGCAAGAGGAGAAATCCTTTCCCTCCAAGTGAGAAGGCTAAAAAATCAGCAAAGGTTTGAGAGGAGGTGGCTGGCACGAGGGGGTCCTTGGAGGCTAAATAGATAGAGGGTATTCCAGACCTCAGCCAAGGCAGGAGGCCTTCCTTACTCCTCTGCAGGGTTGGCCACAGATCAATGCCTAACCCAAAACCCTCAAGACAGCTCTCATGGCCTGCAATAGCCCTGAAGTCCCGGAGTAGGGAGGGTTGCCAGATAAAATACAGAACACCCAGTCAATTTTGAATTTCAGACAAACAACAAATAATTTTTTTTAGGATGGAAATGTGTTTCAAATATTGCATGGGGCATACCAGTACTAAAAAATTTGGGACATGCTTACACTAAAAAATAATTCATTATTTATGCAAAACTCAAATTTGACTGAGCGCTCTGTATTTTGATTAGCTAAAGCTGTTAACTCTACCCTGGTGTGGCATCCAGTGGGAACCCAAACCCCAAACAAAGATAAAGGGTATAACACCCTTTTGTAACCTAGGCTAGGCACACGTCTCCAGTTGTACTGAGGTCAGTGGCTGAAAAGAAGGGATTATGAACTTTATAAAAGTACTTTGTCATATAATTATACACATATTTTAAAAAATTAATGCACAGAAAAACAGTTTACACAGGACACAACTTGCTGGAAACCACTGTGGCTGAAGTGGTGCCTGGGTTCAGCTTGGCCCAGGCTTGTGGGAAGACCTCTCTTCCTCCAGTGGTGATCAGAAACCTGCTGGAGAGGAGAGTCATTGAGGTAGGCCCAGCCTTGTCCCTTTGGGAGAAAGAGCACTGGGTTCGCGTGGCAGGTCCACCTCACTTGTAACAAAGGCAACATGGACAAGACACTCACTGAGCACCCAGGGTGAACTGGCATCCTACACTGATACCTCCTTTGATCCTTACATCCTTTGATCCTGTCATCATCTCCATTTTACGGTCCATGAAAGTGAATTTCAAAAAGGTTCAGGTCCAGTCAAGATGGTCCCCAGCGTCACTCTCTCCCACAAATCAACCAATTTGCAACTATTAAAAAGCAGCAACAGCCAAGCTGGGGCCGCTAGAGCTCAGAGGAAGAGTAGGAGAGACCTACGGAGTGCATGAAGGCAGGAGAAGCCACAATGAGAGGAAGAAAGGATCGCTCCCACCATTTCAAATCCCAGCTACTTCAAGGCTGGAGCTGGTGAGTGCACGGAGCAAGAGCTGGCAAAAGCCACAGCTGTGCCCTTCCTATGAAGTGCTTGGAGGTGGCAGGGGAAAAGAGGGCCTTGGTGGCCCTCAGGCCAGCAAGACCATTAACAGGGTTCCCATAGACCCACATAGGAGAGAGGAGCCACAACAACTGAAAAAAGGAGCCACTCAGAGGCCGGTGAGTCATCGCAAAGGACTGGTGCATAGCTTGTCCCACAGGAAGTGTTTGGAGTGTGGGTGATGGGGAGATGGGTCCCCCGGGGGAACACTGGGGCATAGCATTGACAGCTGATCTGCCCCCCAATCAGCACAGGCCCACTCTGTGTAGACCGGTCAGGAATATAGATCTGCAGGGGGAGCAGTTTGCTGAAAAGACTCAGGCCCAGGCCAGAGTTTCTTTTTTTTTTTTTTTTTTTTTTAAAAGGATGACCGGTAAGGGGATCTCAACCCTTGGCTTGGTGTTGTCAACACCATGCTCAGCTAGTGAGCCAACCGGCCATCCCTATATAGGATCCGAACCCGTGGCCTTGGTGTTATCAGCACCTCACTCTACCGAGTGAGCCACGGGCCGGCCTACAGGCCAGAGTTTCTACATAACCCAGGTGTACCAGACCTCACAAGACCCAGAAGTACATACAAGGTCAACAATTAAAACCTGAGCCCATGGCTCACTCGGGAGAGTGCGGTGCTGATAACACCAAGGCCACGAGTTCGGATCCTATATAGGGATGGCCGGTTGGCTCACTAGCTGAGCATGGTGTTGACAACACCAAGCCAAGGGTTGAGATCCCCTTACCGGTCATCTTTAAAAAAAAAAAAAAAAAAAAAGCCTTCCCCATAGAATCAGCAGCAAAGCAGCAATTTAGCTCAACCACAGGTCTCAAGGTGCTGGTCCCCACAGGAATTTCCCCATTTTAGAAGTAAGCAAAGGACAACAGATTAGTTCCAGTGAAGAGTTTAAGTGGTGGAAACAGTGAATAATCCAACACAGAACTGGAAGAAAAAACAAAATACCCACAGACCAGAGACAAAGTTTGATATTAACTAGTAAAGGTCTCACTTCACCAAAGAACAGCTATAAACCTAGAAGACCAGAAGCACCCTGGGCCTCCAAGCCAGGGAGGGAGAGGTCCGGGGGCCTCAGCCATGTCCCCTGACACCCACAACAAGCCCAGTGACGACCACCAAACCACTACTGGAAGCCCCCTGGTTTCCCAAGCCACGGTGGGGGGGGGTACTGAGGGCTTCAGCCACACCCCTGACATCTGCATTCAACCCAGCAATGACCAAACCACCACTGGAAGCCCCCTGGTCTCCCCTGCAGGATAAGGGGTGTGCTACGGGCCTCAAGCACGCCCTCCCTCCTTCCTCCTTCTCCCACCCTATTTCCTTTCCCCTTCTCTTCTCCCCCTCCCACCCAACTGCTCCACAACATCTTAGAATGTAAAAACAAATGGAGCCGGGGACTGACCCATCCTCCTGCAACCAGGCAAGGAGGAGGCCAAAATCACCACTTCCACACGGGTGGCCCACCACAGCCACCACAATAGCCATGGCTGCCACAAAAGTAGCTAGACACCACAACTACTGTGCAGATGGCCCGCCAACCACTCAAGTGCACTGACACAGGGAGAGTCACCAGGAGAGACCAAAGAACAGAAGAGAATGTCTCTTTCCACAAAGCCCATTCCAGAGTGATAGAAAAAGCATCTACTTTATGATAACAGTGGGGGAACTGAACACACCTCTCTCAGCACTGGACAGATCATCTAGATCTATTAACAGAGCAACCGTTAATCTTTCAGAAGGAGAGAAGAAATCTAGGGTTATCAGAGGTTAGAGGGGTTACGGAGATGGGGATGGGGAGAGATTGGATAAGGGGCATAAAAAATAAGCATGCTTTGTAATAATATATATGCTAATAATATTGATTTGATCAACATATATTAACGTTGAACCTCAAAAATAGGTATAATCAGGCTGGCCCATGGCTCGCTCGGGAGAGTGTGGTGCTGATAACACCAAGCCCGCGGGTTTGGATCCCTACATAGGGATGGCCGGTTAGCTTACTTGGGAGAGAGTGGTGCTGACAACACCAAGCCAAGGGTTAAGATCCCCTTACCGGTCATCTTTTTTAAAAAAATAAATAAATAAAAATAAATAAAGATGACCGGTAAGCGGATCTTAACCTTTGATTTCGTGTCGTTTCAGTAATGGGCCACAATAATCAACCACATTGTATATTGACAAAATAAAATTTAAAAATAAAATAAAATAAAATAAATAAAACTGTTATCTTACCACATAAAAATAAATAATAAATAAATAAATAAAAATGACCAATCCATTCTTTTTTTTTTTTTTTTTGATGGGTGGGGGTGTCTGGCCAGTACAGGGATCCGAAAAAAAAATAGGTATAATCAATTATGATTCAATAAAAATTAATTAATTAATCAAAAACTCTGCATCTGGATCACCATTGAAAGTACTCCTTGGTTTTGTTTCTAGTGGCAGATGAATTAAGCCAACATTAATGTGCTTAAGCCAAGGTTAATGTGCTTTGATTCGAGCAGATTCCTTTCTGTCTTTATAAAAGGAACTAATGACACGTCTGATTTACCTGAAAGATACAGGTTGAATAAGTCAATAAAATGATGCCCACACCTATTGGTTAGCTAAGGATTTGCAACTGTAAATTCCCAACTGCCTACAAGACAAAGGAAGGTGGCGGGCCAGTCACCTCACTCAGAGCATGGTGCTGAGAACACCAAGATCCAGGGTTCAGATCCCAGTACCAGCCAGCCACCCAAAAAAAAGAGACAAAGCATGATAAGACTGCCATGTCAAATGGTGAAGAGGGCAGAGGAAGAATTAAGTAGAAGGCCAAGTGTTTCATGACCTCATAAAGAATCAACGTCCTAAAACAACCTCCTCAGTGACCGTGACATTCCAGGAAATCCAAGAACTAAAGGGCTGCGGTGAGTCACTGTTCTCTTTCCAAACAATTGCTAAAACCACAAAATCATAATGTGACTTGAAATACAGAGAGAAAATATAGAATGCAGGTGTAAAGAAAAACTCATGGAAAATGTTAAACAACCCAAACATGCAAAGAGACAAACCAGTCAAGACAGAAAATAGCTTAATTGGAAAATGGCAAAGGAAAAAATAAGTCAGTAGGCCAAGGCTATAAAGAGGCAGTTCACAAAAGATAAAATACACATAACCAATTATCGTATGAAAATATGTTCAACCTTACCAAGCTCACTAATAATCAAAGACCACAATTAAAAATAGATAAGAATTTTGTCACCTAACTGGCAAAGATTTAAATGGATGGCTGCAGTAGGCAGAATAATGCCTCCTCCCTCAAAAAAAAAAAAAAAAAAAGATGTCCATATACTAATCACTGGTCCTTGTGAATATGTTACCTGACATGGCACAAGGGACTTTGCCGATGTGAGTAAATTAAGAATCTTGAGATGGGAGATAATCCTGGATTATCTGCGTGAGCCCAATTTAATCCCAAGAGTCCTTATAAGAAGGAGGTAGGAGGTCAGAGTAAGAGAAGGAAGCGTGGCATCAAAAGCAGGTCAGAGAGAGAAATTTGAAGATGCCGTGTTGCTGGCTGTGAAGGTGGAGGAAGGGGACAGGAGCCAAGGAATGCGGGCAACTCTGGAAGCTGGAAAAGGCGAGTAAACAGATTCTCCTTAACTGACACCTTGATTTTAGGACTTTGGGCCTCCAGAACGGTAAGATAAATTTGTATGGTTCTAAACCACTAAGTTTACTACAGAAGCAATAGAAAACAAATACGTTGGCAATACCAAGAGAGAGCAAAGACATGGAGGAAGCGGCCTTCGCATACAGTAACAGTGGGAATGCAGATCAGCACAGTGTCACAGGTCACGCTGCTAATGGGCGTTACCTTTTCCCCAGTCCTCAATTTATTCTAAGATAATCGGGGATGTTTGCAAACCTGCGTATGTGCAAGAGTGTGCATTCTAGTATTATTGAAGGATGCAAGCTTTTAAACCAAAAAAAAAAAAAAAAAAAAAAAAAAGTTCAGGTACCAAGAGAGAGCAAAGACATGGAGGAAGCGGCCTTCGCATACAGTAACAGTGGGAATGCAGATCAGCACAGTGTCACAGGTCACGCTGCTAATGGGCGTTACCTTTTCCCCAGTCCTCAATTTATTCTAAGATAATCGGGGATGTTTGCAAACCTGCGTATGTGCAAGAGTGTGCATTCTAGTATTATTGAAGGATGCAAGCTTTTAAACCAAAAAAAAAAAAAAAAAAAAAAAAAAGGTTCAGGAACTTAGGCAATGTCACACAGCCCCAAGTGGCACAGCAAGGATGCCAAACTGGGTCAGACCCTATTCACCAAACCGTGCAGTTCGCACACCCTGGTACACACAAAGGACCGATCATTCAACATCCGCACCCACAACACCTGCCCACGAGGAGTCACCCATTCAGATGTACATACACAAATAGAGCCACTCTTCCCGGGGAATTCACCAAGTGTGCAGCTTAGGGCTGTGCTGCCTCCCAAGCCCGCCCTGCTGCTTCCCCAGGCTAGCGATGCTCATTCACCCTCTTCCGCCTCCCGAGAACCGGTAGAAACGGTCCTGAGAACTACAACTCCCAGCACACCCTCCTCTCACCACTAACAGAAACGGCCCGGGCGCACAGTCTCCTGGGACTTGTAGTACTACCCAGAATCCCGTTCCGCTCCTCCGTGGGCTATGGCCAAAGAATCCATAATCCCAGCATGCCCAGGAACCGGAAGACAGGAGCTCAGAGGGCATCTTCCGCCTCTGGGGGCGCGCAGGCGCAGCACCCATGTTTGTCGGCCCCAAAGAGGGAGGAGGTGCGATTGAAACCAAGACCCAGGCCTTGCCGGAGCTGACTAGACCTGACTCGGGCCTAGAACTAGACACCAGTCTCGCGCGGACCGAAAATCCCAGAGTGGATGGAGGAGGCCCAGCCCTGAGATCAACGCCAGCCCATCCGGCCTGGCGCGGGATCTACGGGGTGGGCAAGCAGGCAGGCGTGCCGAAGCCACTCAGGGCCTTCTCTCAGGTCCCGGGCGAGGAGCCTAAGCTCCGGCCCCACAAGGCCCTGTTCGGCCCCTGGGGACCAGAGCCCGACCCGATCGGAGGCGGAGCCTTCAGCAGGGCTATAGGCCAGTGACTAGGCCGGGACTGGGCCTCCCGTCGGGGCCGGACTGGGACGAGGCCCCGGGGAGGCCCCTAGCCCCAGCAGACCCTTCCCTCAGGCCGACGCCCGCCGGGAAGATGCAACGCGCCCTACCGGGCGCCCGCCAGCACTTGGGGGCCATCCTGGCCAGCGCCAGCGTGGTGGTGAAGGCGCTGTGCGCGGCGGTACTATTACTCTACCTACTCTCTTTCGCCGTGGACACGGGCTGCCTGGCAGTCACCCCAGGCTACCTCTTTCCCCCCAACTTCTGGATCTGGACCCTGGCTACCCATGGGCTGATGGAGCAGCACTTGTGGGACGTGGCCATCAGCCTGGCCACGGTGGTGGTGGCCGGCCGTTTGCTGGAGCCCCTCTGGGGTGCCTTGGAGCTGCTCATCTTCTTCTCAGTTGTAAATGTGTCTGTGGGGCTGCTGGGGGCCTTCGCCTACCTCCTCACCTACATGGCTTCCTTCAACTTGGTCTACCTGTTCACTGTCCGTATCCACGGCAACTTGGGCTTCCTAGGTGGTGTCCTGGTCGCACTCAAGCAAACCATGGGGGACTGTGTGGTCCTGCGAGTGCCCCAGGTGCGCGTCAGCGTAGTGCCCATGCTGCTACTGGCGCTGCTGCTCCTGCTGCGGGTGGCCACACTGCTCCAGAGCCCGGCACTGGCTTCCTATGGCTTCGGGCTGCTCTCCAGTTGGGTGTACCTGCGGTTCTACCAGCGTCATAGCCGGGGCCGAGGGGACATGGCTGACCACTTTGCTTTTGCAACCTTCTTCCCTGAGATCCTGCAGCCTGTGGTGGGGCTGTTGGCGAACTTGGTGCATGGTCTCTTGGTGAAGGTAAAGATATGCCAGAAGACAGTGAAGCGCTATGATGTGGGTGCCCCATCCTCCATCACCATCAGCCTCCCAGGCACAGACCCTCAAGACGCTGAGCGGAGAAGGTACTGTGAAATCTTCCAAAATATTGTCAAGCTAGGAGAGTATTGGTCAAGTATTGGTCAGTGCTATCTGTTTAGGTGCTTGCTGTACATATGCTGGAGACCTAGAGTCAGATGTTGAGGCAGATTCAGAAAGAGAAAATCAAATCCAGTCTTTGGCCTTGAGGAACTCAGCATTTAGGTTCTGGGCTTCGGTAGGTGCTTTTCTCATACCCAGGCCATTTAAGTGTCAAGAAATGCCCATGCTGTGTGAGGGGATGATGGAGGTACATATAACCCTGGCCTTTCTCAGAATCATAGACACCCACCCTGTGGAAGCTAGCAACAACTTGCTGGTCTTTTTCCCTCAGGGAAGGAGACCTGGAGTCCTTAAAAGGTGGTCTAGGCCACCCCAATTTCCAAATGCTGAACTCTGTCCTCTTCCTAGGCCTTAATTCAGATGCTGTGCTACTCTGCCACTTTACTGAGAGGGAAACATGAAGTATTACCAAATTCAACCCCCTCCAGTGGGCATGTGTTAACGAACCCAGGCGACCCACCATGGATGCCTGCCGACCAGACCACACCAGGGAGTGGAGATGACTTTTACATTGTCTGTACACCAAGTTATCTGCAGCATCAGAAATCCCAGCTGAATTATTCATTGGATGCACTTTGGCCAGGGCGGGACAGATCTTCTTATATTTTTATTTATTTATTTTTATGGTAAATATGTAACTTTATTATTTAAATATCTAGGACAGATCTTTTTAAATTCAGCTCTTACACTCTCTCTTCCAGATCTGTGGGCTCACCAGACTGGTCCCAGCTTCCACAAGATCCACAGCTTCATTTCCAACATTATTTTTGATTTTTTGAGGCAATTACTTAAGTAGTGAAATTTGGGGTAGGCTTTGTTTTTTTGCATTTGTCAAAGACTCCTGCTTTTGCTCACTGTGAGGTGGGTTCTTGGCAGGAAGCTTTATGAATTCAGATGAAGAGTTATCCCCGTGCTTATGCTCCACTGGGGCTGTGGAATTGACTGTGGGACATATCCCTTTCTTGAAGGAGTTTCCAGCTGGGGAAGGGCCATAGATTACTATGGTCCAAGGTAGTAGGTGTCAAAAAGTACACACAGCATGCTGCAGACATAATTCTGAGCCCTACAGCTTGGATCTCTGTGGGTGATTAAGTCCTAAAGACAGAGGTCTATCCTAACCTTATCTGGTGGAAGAGACGGGGCCAGGAGGGCTGGGCCTGGTAGGAACTGAGCTGCCCTCAGAGCTATTCAAGTGGAGCCAGGCCAGTGGTGCCCCTTCTCCAGTGAGGGGTCTTAGATTCTTAGGGTTGGGGCCAGCCCGTGGCTCACTTGGGAGAGTGTGGTGCTGATAACACCAAGGCCACGGGTTCGGATCCCTATATAGGTATGGCCGGTTAGCTCGCTTGCGAGAGCATGGTGTTAACACCACCAAGTCAAGGGTTAAGATCCCCCTTACCGGCCATCTTTAAAAAGAAAAAAAAAAAAAGATTCTTAGGGTTGGCTGGACATTCAGAAAACCTCTGCCCAGGCCAAAGAAAATGGACAGGGGGAGGCAGGTTGGTGGGGGGATGAGGGGGTTCAGGAGGTGTGTTCTTGGCATAGCATTATGGTCGTTAGCTTACTTAGGGGTGGGGGTTGCTCCAGTTTGCATGCCACTCCCAGACTCAAAAGGGCTACTAGTAGAGGAAGGCGGGCTTTCCTCTGTCTCTCTGACCCCTAAGAGGAAATGACTAGCATGACGCTATCTCTCTGCCTTGGCAGGCTTTAGACAGAACTGGCAAGGGCATCTCCGGGATGGGGACCTGGATAGCAGCAAGGAAGGACTATCCAGTCTGTGCCACCTTGCTATGTGCCAGGCTGGAGGGCAGGGTGGAAGTGTGCTGGAGCTTTCTATGTCCATGTCCTTGTCCTATATGCCTATCCTGTCATGTTCCCTGGCGTGGTAGAGATTTTTGCTCTGCTGGAACTTGGAAGGCCACACATGCTGTCCCAATGTTGGTGACACAGAAAGGCACAGTGGCCACTGTTGGAAGTGTTGCCTGGCAGCATGGGCACTCCACCTTCTGGTCAGCCATGGTCCCAAGCACATGTGTATACCTTCTTCTAGTGGACTTTCCCACCTCCCCGCAAAGGTGGGGTTCCAAGACTCTCTCCTATGGAACCAGTAGGCTCTGGCCTGTGCCCTACCCACATGGGCAGTTTCTCCTCCTCCTTTTCCTGCAAGGCCTCCGCCAAGTCCCTGTTCTAACACATGCCTTGGTGGCTTTGGGATTCTTCTGGGAAGGAGGATATTAGAGTCGGTTAGGAAGGTTGGACTGATTCAAGTTGGCCTGAGAACCAAAGGAGGTGCTGAGTTCCAGCCTTCCCCCACAGACCCTTGCCAGGAGGCTCAAGACCATCCCTAAGGAGAGGGAGAGAGTTAATAACCCTCTCCTTAGACATGATACCAGTGCCCAGGCAGAAACTCACATCTCAAGGGACTCGCTGTTCTATCCATCTCTTCTGGGGCACTAGCTCCACCTGCAATTAGGCACCACCCTCAGAACCATTCTGCCTGCCTGGCAGGCAGTCTGGCAGACACCCAGCTGGATCTCTCAGCCTGGAGGCACCCCAGCTAGGGAAAGGAAGACTACATACAGCCTTTGGATCCTCATTCTGATGGCAGTGTGGGCCCTAATCCAATCTCTGGGGAGCCTTGGGCCCTGCATGGAGAGGGGGAACCATGGGATTTGGTGGAAGGAATCTTATGGTAATGGGAGGAGTCAGCCTGTTGGGGAAGGGTGCAGGGCATGAGCCAAGCCCAAACCCAGAGTGACCTGTCCTCTCTCCTCTGGCCCCAGGCAACTGGCCCTGAAGGCCCTCAATGAGCGGCTGAAGAGAGTGGAGGACCAGTCCGTCTGGCCCAGCATGGATGATGATGAAGAGGAGACTGGGGCCAAGGTGGACAGAACCTTGCCCTCAGACAAAGCTCCCATGCCCCCAGAGAAGGGTGCTGCCCCAGAATCCAGTCTCATCACCTTCGAGGCAGTTCCCCCAAAGCTGTAACTCCAGACCACCTTGAGTGTAGCACCTTCTTTCCCAAGCCCCCCTTCACATCCTCTCAGCTACTCCAGGACACTGACTGCCCTGAAGAGAGGGAAGAAGGTCTGCTGGAGGTTTCTACGGCCTTCTGTTATTTCTCGCCAACACTACCCAGGACTCTTGCTACCTGGTTCCAACTCCAGACAACCACTATGCTAGGCATGCAGCCTGAGGCATCAGCCAGTCCAGGCCCCCATCTGAGGTAAGACTGTATCTCAGCAGGCAGTCCCAAGCAAGTGGCTTGCAGGGACACCGGTGCCATAGCTCCTGGCCTGGCCCTCACATATGAAACTGGTTGCCAAGACCCCTGAGCCAAGGCAAGAATTTGCCAAAAATGTCCTGGGGGCCCAGCCAGTGCAGGAGCCAGCGTGGGGCTGCACATCCCTGCCCACCCCCAGAAAGACTATGTTCATGTCAGGATTTGTTTCCCTCTGCTGTGGCTGTGACTGCTTCTGGGCCAGAATAGCCACAGCTCCCAGGTATTTTCTACAGGACCACTTGAGTGGGCAGCCAAGCCCAGTCTCACAGTATCAATAAAGCAGTTCTTTGAGGTATGACTCCTAGGTTTTGTCAGGCCACCTTGTATAGCCCCCTCATCATGTTCAACTGCAGTTAGACAAGGACTTTACTGGCTCAAGGGCTCAGTCTCTGTGGCAACTCCAGCTGGATAAGAAGCCCATTGCCCTTATTCTCCTCCCCGCCATCAACACCATATGCCCACTACCAAGCAGCCTTCCCAGAGCTGTTACCTCAGACCCTTACTTCCTTCTTCTCCCTCTGATCTCCAGCTGGGGAGTCCCTCTGTCTCTGCCCAGAGGATCTGATGTTTAAGGGCCTTTCTATCATAAGGAGTTGTTCTTATCCATGGTTCACCTCCAAGACAGAGTGCTTAGTGCTTGACACCTATGGAGACAGAGCCCATTCTCAGCTCCCATCCTGTCATTGTCTATAACTGACCACCAGTCTGGAGATTCCAGCACAGTGGGTAGCTAGGAGATGAGAAGGACACACATAAGGAACCATTCACAGCTACAGCCTTAGGGCCTGCAAGGGCCCTTGTTGGCATGGGCTACTCGGCAGCCAGATCCTGGGAACTTGTGTGCTAGGAGAGCTTCAGCCCCTTGGTCAGCAGCCAGGGACAGGGGGTCTCCGTCTTGCCCATTTTCTCCTGCTGATGGCATTAGCAAAGACCATTCCCAATTCAGCTGCTCCTCCCATCAGTCTTTTCAGTCATTTTTTTTTTATTTTACTTTTTTATCTTCTGTAATTCTGGAGATACGAGTACAAATATAAGCTGCATTGCTGGTGAGGCAGTCTTGGAACCCCACCTTCATCTAGACATGATTCATATGCTCCTCTGGGATGATGGAGAAAGAAAAGGGAGGCACTCTATCATGAGGGGCAAAAATGTCACACACAGGTCTCCTCTTACCCCTGACTGCCCCAGTGCCTGAAGTGTCACCCTGATTTAGTCAGGTGAGAGTCCAAGAGGTCCACAGCCTCAGCTTCTATACTGAGAGGCAAATCCAGGATTTCCTTAGGCTGGAAAGAGCTCATGGTTGGATCCTTTTGCGGTACAGGTAGGCATTGCTCACCTGGTTCATGATGACCAAGCTAGTGAGGACAGGGCATAGCACAGCCAGGTACCAAGTCCCACCAGTGACAGTGGCAGTGAACCAGAATGAGCACATGCCCAACAAGAGGCTGGCACTGCCCAGCAGGTAGCCCACCAGCCCAGAAGTGGCATGGTATAGCTTGAGCTTCGCCAGGGGCCATCGGGGCAACAGCTTGGGATAGAGCAGCCCCACCCCACCTGAGCACTGCAGCCCTGCCCACAGCACAGCTAGCAGCCCTGCCTGCCCATGCCGTGTGGCCAGGTGGGCTTTGCCAAGCTGCTCTTTGTGGAGGATGACCAGGCTGAGTCCCAGCAGTGCACACAGCAAGGCCAGCAGCTGCAGCACCCAGTGGCAGCGTGCTCGGCCTTTCCGTGAGAGGGAGTGCAGCAACGAACTCTCAGGAGAGAACACCAGTAGTGCCTCGGTCATCAGGAAGGAGAACTGAGGAGACAGGAAATGGGAAACTCAAGTGAGGGTGTTGTCCCAGCAGCGGAGAAAAGGCCTTTAGATAACACTGTAAGCTGTCAGTGAGTCTGGACTGATTGCCCTTCTTCATTCTCTTCCCACTGAAAAGACATCCATTTGGTGGGGCAAGAGTAGAAAACCCCATCTTGAGCAGAACATGTGCCCTGAGTAATTAGCGAGAGATGCCTCTCCCCACTTCTTCCCTGGTGCTATTCTGAAATGTCATCTCTGCTATGTTACCCAGCAAACACAAGGTTTGAGATGTGGCAGTTATAAATGATTCACAAGCTTTGTTTCCCTAACATGGAGCTGGGTACAATTTCTTGACAGGAGCTGGCCACATGGGTGCAGTGTTTCAGGGAAAATTAGATGCATCCCCATAAATTAAGGTAAAAAAGGACAGAGGTACATCCAAATGCAATTTCTCAGCTTCCTGCCTGGAGGTGGGTGAAGCCTCATTTTGTGCTTAGACAAACCTCACCCATTTGCCCTGGGTCTTGAATACACTAGTTCAAGTCTGGGACATATATCAAATGCAAAAGTTGGAGCAGGCAAGTCCTCCAAACAGATATTAAGTGTTCACAAGGATTCAGAGGCCACCACCCACGCCCATGCTCCCACCCTGAAGAGCTGCCCAGGCCCACTACTTACAGCCAGAGACATAAGCACAGGGTGCCAGGAGAACAGACCTGGAATGAGAAGAGGAGGCCTCATGGGGCTGAGGCAAGAAGAAACCAGCCATACCAATTCTACATCCTGAGGAATATAGGCAGCCCATCACCTAAGGAGGGGCTGCTAAAATGTGAGCCCCCTCTTGTTGCAACAAGCTAACCCTACGCCTATTCTCTCTTCCTGGCCCCTTCCTGGATCAAAGGCCATGCTTTGCCATTCCTCTGGCATTTCTCCCTTTTTCCTCCAGCACCACCCAAGAGAGGCAGCCAAGTGGAGCACCAAGACAAGGAAAGAGAAACCAGGTACTCTGGGGCCTGGCCAAGCTGGCAGAGCCCCCAACTCCCATCTGTTCCATTCCACTCACCTCTCTAGCACAAAATATCCCTCAGCCAGCCAGCCAGGCCTGTTTCCCCAGGAAAAGTAGCCCTTCCCTTCCCGGATGTCGACTGAATTCTACTTACTGGAGCCAGGCCTGGCAAGCACAGCCAATAGGCAGCCCATCACCTAAGGAGGTGCTGCTAAAATGTGAGCCCCCTCTTGTTGCAACAAGCTAACCCTACGCCTATTCTCTCTTCCTGGCCCCTTCCTGGATCAAAGGCCATGCTTTGCCATTCCTCTGGCATTTCTCCCTTTTTCCTCCAGCACCACCCAAGAGAGGCAGCCAAGTGGAGCACCAAGACAAGGAAAGAGAAACCAGGTACTCTGGGGCCTGGCCAAGCTGGCAGAGCCCCCAACTCCCATCTGTTCCATTCCACTCACCTCTCTAGCACAAAATATCCCTCAGCCAGCCAGCCAGGCCTGTTTCCCCAGGAAAAGTAGCCCTTCCCTTCCCGGATGTCGACTGAATTCTACTTACTGGAGCCAGGCCTGGCAAGCACAGCCACAAAGATGGTAAAGCCGAAGGCCACAAGGTGTGCGGCAGCCCCAGAGGCAGTGCGCAGAGCTCGGTAGATGTGCGACTCGGTCTCCACAGAAAGGGCCATGGTCAGCCGGGCCGGTGGCTGTAGCGTGAAAGCATAGTAGAGTGAGCAAGGGTCTGTTACCCCACTGTCCACTTCTCTCACTGGAGAAAGGGTTGCAGGGCAGGAATGTCACCCTCTTTCAAGAAGTTATGTTGGGGAGGAACAGTACCAAGACTGGCATCGGGAACAGTCACAACATGCCAGTAGAGAATCTACGGCCTGTATCTGAACTGGTACTGATCGCCGGCCAACCTTCCAGGTAGGAGGCGCAAGGCCAAATAAGACTACAAATCCCAGTGTACACTATGTCGTCACCGGCGGGAGCGCCAGGCAGGAGGGCGTGGAGCACTACGGGAATTGTAGTGCCATACTACGGCCCCAGTTACAGCGTTAATCCCTTCGCACACTGCCTCCCCACGTACAACTGGCATACTGCCCCTCCGCTCTAGGGATCTGCCTGTCTCACCCGCAGCGCCGACCCGTCGCGGTGGTTTCCTCCAAAGAAAACTGGTTAGTCGAGGCCCTGCCGCTCGCGCCACAGCTCTGTCGCGGAGCGGTTTCACTTCCGGGTGCGACGTCTACCCAGCCGGGACGTCCTAGGACTAGCCACCCCCACCAGCCTCGCCTCTGAGTCGCGCTGCGCAGGCGCCATTAACCAGACGGCTTTGCTAGTGTGTGTGCGCACAAGCGAACTTGACCCGGCGGCCCAATCCTCTGGCTGACAGGTGTTCCCAGAAATAGGGGCGCTTCCGCGCGCGAGAGACGAGGAGCTACGGGTTCAGTCCTAGCTAGCGCCATGGGCAGCGGCTGCCGCATTGAATGCATATTCTTCAGCGAGTTTCACCCAACGCTGGGACCCAAGATCACCTACCAGGTGCCGCCAGGGCTCGCGGGACTAGGCGGGGAGAGGGACTCTGTAGCGAGCTTAGCCGGCTGCCTGGAGGCGGTGGATCTCCGAGTATGCCACTCCCTTATTCGCGGACAACCCTGAATGGAGAAAACACTCAGACCCAGGTCCCCGGCCCCCTGTGTGGGCGGGGGAGACATATGTCACGTAAGCAGTGTTTGTAGGAAATGGGGCTGTATGGGTCCAGAGGCAGTGCTAGGTCCCACAGAAGGTGGGTTCGGCGGCCCAAGAATATTCCTGGATTGAGTTGAGACCTAAATGATGCATAGGAAGTAAGAACATGGCATGTGTTTGGAAACACAAAGGAGTAGTAGGCCTGGGTATATGGGAGAGAGAAATACTGAAGAAGAGGGTTTGGGCCTCAGGGGTCACCATGTGTACTCCATCCAGTCCCAATGTCCACTGAGGGGCCTGTTGCCACTCCTGTTCCCAGGTCCCTGAGGACTTCATCTCCCGGGAGCTGTTTGATACAGTCCAAGTGTACATTATCACCAAGCCAGAGCTGCAGAACAAGCTCATCACTGTGTGAGGCCCTAGCTGGGGGGGTGGGGAGGCAAGTACCCACTAGGAGGGGACAGGCTTGGGGCAGGCCTGACTCTGTTCCACTCATCCAGCACAGCCATGGAAAAGAAGCTGATTGGTTGCCCCGTGTGCATCGAACACAAGAAGTACAGCCGCAATGCCCTCCTCTTCAACCTGGGCTTCGTGTGTGATGCCCAGGCCAAGACCTGTGCCCTCGAGCCCATCGTTAAAAAGCTGGCTGGCTACCTGACCACACTGGAGGTCTGCAACATGCTGGGCTTGGGTGTATAAGCAGGCAGAGTTGGGGAAAATGTTCCCATGTCTCCAAAGCCCTCCAGACCTGAGACCCTGCCAGCCTACTTGGGACCCCGACAGGGCAGGTAGCCAGCCAGGGGTCCCGGGGTGTGCCCACCATGCTGTCCATGTTCTATCCAGCTAGAGAGCAGCTTTGTGTCCACAGAGGAGAGCAAGCAGAAGTTGGTACCCATCATGACCATCTTGCTGGAGGAACTGAATGCCTCAGGCCGGTGCACTCTGCCCATTGGTATGCCCAGCCTCTGCAAGGACAGCAGAGAGGGAGAGGAGGGATGGGAAAGTGGCAGGGGAAGGTAAGCCCAGCCATTACAGGAGAGGAACAAGAATCATGAACAAATTGGTGGCCAGGAAATAGCCATGGGCTGGCGTAATGATGCCCAGGGTCCAGTTCATGATGATGATGGGGCTGGGGCTGGGGAGGCAGCAGAGCTCTCCAGTTCTGCCCCTTGGGCATATTCCTTCCCCTCTCTGGACCTCAACTTCTCACTCCATAAAGGGGAAGACTGACACTACCCAGAGCTGCCTGCCTGTCTCAAGGGATGCTGGGAGGCCTGGATGGTAATTGAGGGCTTCTTGGAAGCGATGACACTGAGGATATGGTGGGGTCCCCTGCAGATGAGTCCAACACCATCCACTTGAAGGTGATTGAGCAGCGGCCAGACCCTCCTGTGGCCCAAGAGTATGATGTGCCTGTGTTTACCAAGGACAAGGAGGATTTCTTCAACTCACAGTGGGACCTCACCACACAACAGGTGTGCCAGCCCCCCCTGGGTATCATCACCTGAGGCTGGTCACAGCCAGGGCCTCACACCGCACCCACTGACGCTGCCATGCTCTGCCCAGATCCTGCCCTACATTGATGGTTTCCGCCATGTCCAGAAGATCTCAGCCGAGGCAGATGTGGAGCTCAACCTGGTGCGCATTGCTATCCAGAACCTGCTGTGAGTAGGACTATAATCATGCCCAGTATAGGGTCACCAGCCAGAGAAGAGCCCAGGGCCCCTGAGTATGGAGGCTGGGAAAGCATGGTTCTCAGAAGCTGAGCACAGCTATCTCTCCCAGGTACTATGGAGTTGTGACACTGGTGTCCATCCTCCAGGTAGGTGAGTCTGGGATAAAATTAAGTGGAGAGTGGACCATGTGGCTGGGCCAGACCAGAGCTGTGTCAGCCTTCCAAGCCCCTCACTCAGGCCCCTGTGCCTTCTGCTACCCTCTAGTACTCCAATGTGTACTGCCCAACACCCAAGGTCCAGGACCTGGTAGATGACAAGTCCTTGCAGGAGGCGTGTCTATCCTATGTGACCAAGCAAGGTACTAGTGGACTGTGGGGGAAGCCATCTTGGGGAGGGCAGGGCCACCTGGTGAGCTGACCCTTGGCACCCACAGGGCACAAGAGGGCAAGTCTCCGAGATGTGTTCCAGCTGTACTGCAGCCTGAGCCCTGGCACTACTGTGCGAGACCTTATTGGCCGCCACCCCCAGCAGCTGCAGCATGTTGATGAACGGTCAGAGGGGGATTCCCTGGGATATGAGGGGGTTGCCTGAGGGCAGGTAGACCCTCTGTAGGAAACAGGGGATTCCCAGTGAGCAGAATCATGGCACTGCTAGTCCAGAAAGGCTTCCTGGAGATGATGGGCTTGGAGGCCAGTCTGGCTGCTGAGACAAAATTGAAGGGGAGACTGCAGGAAAGGGTTGGCTGGGCTGGAAGGAGGCCTGGCCAGAGTATCACCCCTCTTTGCCCTAACCCTCACTTCAGGAAACTGATCCAGTTTGGGCTTATGAAGAACCTCATCCGACGACTACAGAAGTATCCTGTGCGGGTGTCTCGGGAGGAGCGGAGCCACCCTGCCCGGCTTTACACAGGCTGCCACAGCTACGATGAGATTTGCTGCAAGACAGGTAGAGGCAGGCAGGGCAGTCAGGGTGGGGTCAGAGCAGCGTGGTCAAGCCAAGACCACTGACCTCACTTCCACCACCCCATCCAGGCATGAGCTACCATGAGCTGGATGAGCGGCTTGAAAACGACCCCAACATCATCATCTGCTGGAAGTGAGGCTGGTGGTCGCTAGATATGGCACATTGCTGTGGGTACTTCCTCCTGCTAAGCCCTCCCTAATACAGACAGACTAGACCAGTAGGCTAGTCCATACTGTCTGGAGGTTGACCCACAGTTCTGTAAATAAAGTCATCCATTTCAACCTGCCTTTATTGAGTATTTCCTCTGAGCCAGCCACTGGAGATCCAGCAGAGAATGAAATAGCCACAGTCCTGCTTGAGCGCCATCTGGTGGGCAGGACTGACAGTGGACAAGTAAACATGCCCGCTATTTACAAACTAAAACAGCCAGAAACAGAGACGTAATGAAGACTGAGTTGGGACTGGAGCGGGGACTGGTCTGGATTAGATAGGCAAGAAAGGCTTCGCTGAGGTGACTTAAGCTGAGCCCTGAAGGAGGAAGACCATTGAGATGAGTACACAAGTGCAGAATCCTGAGGCAAAAACTTCTGGGATGTGTGAGGAACCCAAGAGAGGTCCATGGGGCTGGAACATAGCGGGTAAGGGGGAAAGAGGCAAGCATCTAAATCTTGAGATAGAAGAAAGAGCAAGTATATCCTGCAGAGCTGCTGGTAAGCCGCTTCAGACCTAGTATTTTGAGGGCCAGAGGTAGCCAAAGAGCCGCCCTCATGCAAAGCAGTAATGTCTTATGTACACCTTTAAGACTTCTGGCTGCTCATGACGGTCAAGAGAGGAAGCAGGCCTAGTGAAAAAGCCGCTGCAGTTACTCCATGAGAGGTGATGGCAGTCTGGACTAGGATGGAGAGAAGTTGTGAGCCCTGGGCAGTATTTCGGGAGTAGAGCCAATTGGTGGAGCAAGGCGCGAGAAATAGGGGAATGAGGAAACCTTGATGAGGAGCATCAGGGTGGGCCAAGATGGCACAGCTGCGGGAGGAGCTGGTGAGAGCCGGGATTACCCCCATCCCTGTGCGGACAACTTGGCGTCCGAGGAGAGGGTCTAGGCCACAGGAATCTGGAAGTCAGGAGAGACTCGTGGGCAGCAGCCCGCCGCGAGGGAGAAAGTTCTGGGTGTTCAAACAGGGTTGATACCAGCAGCCGCGTAGACTTTGGTGGGGGTGGGGCGGGGGGAGTGGCCCGAAAGGGGAGGTGGGACGGAGCGAGCCGCCAGCAGGGGCGGGGTGCAGACCGCATTGCGCAAGCGCCGAGCTAGCCCGTTACCAAGGCGGCTAGGACCCACGCGCCCCAACCGCCTCACAACAGTCCTGTACCAGACTAAGATCCCACCGGAGTCCGTTGTCCCCGAGTGTGTCGCCACCCATATCCCGGCTGCTGTCCGAGGTCAGCCGGCCCCCGGTCCCGATATGGGCGACCTGGAGCTGCTGTTGCCCGGGGAGGCCGACGTGCTGGTGCGGGGTCTGCGCAGCTTCCCGCTACGCGAGATGGGCTCCGAAGGGTGAGGCAGCTGGGTCAGGCGGAGTCACGGGGTCAAAGTCTTTGAGTGGGGGAGCTTGGGCCTGATGTTAAGGGGAGGGATTGCCCAATGTGAAGGGGATCCCTAGGTGGGGATGCAAAGTTCTCAGAGGAGCATTATATGGCTCCTGAGCTCTCTCTGGCTCAGGTTAGGCTTCAATAGGATCCAGCCTCCATCCTTATTCCTAATGCACACATGTGCACCCAAATGTACACACATACCCTCTGGGGCAGGTGGAACCAGCAGCACGAGAACCTGGAGAAGCTGAACATGCAAGCCATCCTTGATGCCACGGTCAGCCAAGACGAGCCCATTCAGGAGCTACTGATCACCCATGGGAAGGTACCCTGAGGTCACGGGCAGGGTTTCTGCCTTCCCCACCACACCTCACCCACTCTGCCTCTCAGGAACACCCTGGGTGGGGGACATGGCCAGTCCAGGCCCTCCTGTTCCTTGGCTCTCTGGCCAGCACCTCCTTCGCTCTGTCCTGGCACACCTGTCCTCCCCGATGGGGAAAAAGGAACGTGTTACACATTTCATTTTGTACCCCTATTGGATGGACCAGGCATTCCAGGCCTGGTGTAGGACATGAGTTAATCAGGGAAATAATCATGGATCCTAGAACAACCTAGGCTGCAGGGGGGGGCCCAAGTGCTAAAGGCTGAATTGACTGTAAGGTCAGAGGGGGCCCATTGAAGTGGGAGTGGGACCTTGACATGGAAGGAGGCAGCCTTCCCAACATGAGAGAGGGGGAGTTGGAAACCAGAGAGATGTCTGTCTGGAGCATGGTCAGTTAGTGGAATCAGTAGATGACCTGAGATGTCACTTGACAAAAGGATTCCTCCGCAAGAAGAACGTGGAGCTCACTACTGGGGGATGGGGTACGAATAGGGCATTGTGAAGGGCCCTGAGTAAAGGTGAGGCTAAGGCACACAAGAGCCTTGGGGCGCCAGAGGTCAGGGATAAGAAGAAGGGCATGAGTGGGAGGACTGGCCTGGAAGGAATTCCTGGAAGGAGGGGAGAGGAAACGTGCAGGGAGGGCAGGGACCAGTCACAGGAAGCATGGGAGATGTCCCCACAGAGATGCTTGGGGCAGCTGGAAATGAAGGTCTAAGGTGCAGGAGAGAAGTTGGGAAGAGTAATCATGGGGCCTGGGAGAGTCTAGGAGGCCAAGGGAATTTGAGAAGAACTGGGGTAGACCAAGCCAGGCTATGGTAGACCCACCTCATCCCTGTCCTTTCCTCTACTCTTCAAAGATCCCAACACTGGTGGAGGAGCTGATCGCAGTGGAGATGTGGAAGCAGAAGGTGTTCCCAGTGTTGTGCAGGCTAGAGGACTTTAAGCCACAGAACACCTTCCCCATATATATGGTGGTGAGCTGGGCTTCTCATTCACACTTCCTTCCACCCCTTATCCCCTGGACTGGGGGAATAGCTGGTGGCCCCTATCCCTCACTCAGAAGCCCCAGGTCCTGTCTTCCTTTTGGTATGACAGGTACACCACGAGGCCTCCATCATCAACCTCTTGGAGACGGTGTTCTTCCATAAGGTGAGGCACTATCCCCGCCCATGGGCCACTGCTTCTGGCCAGGGCCTGGCAGGAAGGGAGGTTGTGTCAGTGAGGGGAGGGCATCAGAAACAGAAAGTTTCCCTTCCCCCTTACCCCACAGGAGGTATGTGAGTCAGCAGAGGACACTGTCTTGGACCTGGTAGACTACTGCCACCGTAAACTAACTCTGCTGGTGGCCCGGAGTGGCCATGGTGGCCCCCCTGAGGAGGAGGAGGGGTGCCAGGACAACACCCCCATGCAGGTGGGTTGAGGTTCCCTGGGGTTGGCAGCCTAGATCTGGGTTCTCCCAGGCCTGTGCAGGCAAGGGATGACCCATCCTGAACACTGTATGGCCTCCCAGGAGCTGCAGAAGCAGGCAGAGCTAATGGAATTTGAGATCACACTGAAGGCCCTCTCAGTGCTGCGCTACATCACAGACTGTGTGGACAGGTGGGCAGCTCCCGGGCCTGGGGCCTACAGTGGAGGGCTAAAAGATTGGGCCTGTAGCTTCTGCTCACCTCCCTTCCCACCACCCCCACTCCTAGCCTTTCCCTGAGCACCTTGAGCCGCATGCTCAGCACCCACAATCTGCCCTGCCTCCTGGTGGAACTACTGGAGCACAGTCCCTGGAGCCGGCGAGAAGGGGGTAAGGTCCTCTCCAACCCATGTAAGCCCCATCCCACTGCTTCTAGGCCACTGTTCAGGATTGTTGGGGGTGGGCAGTTTGCCCACAGGCAGACAAACCCTTCCCCTAGGCCACAGATGATACCAGGATGTCTTCACCCAAGGTGGGCATAGACCTGAGCTCTGTAGCAGTCAAGGCCCATGTGTCCACTACTGAGAACTCACCCTGCTCTGGGAGCAGCAGCACCACAGCCTGGGCATGTCCTATAGCCCAGGTTCTCCCACCATGCCCAGGTAGTGGTCAGTCCCCCAGCCCACACAGCTGGCTCACTCAGAATGCAATCCCTGCACTCAGTGTCCTGGTTCCTCTCCCCAGGCAAGCTGCAGCAATTCGAGGGTGGCCGTTGGCAGACAGTAGCCCCCTCAGAGCAGCAAAAGCTGAGCAAGTTGGATGGGCAAGTGTGGATTGCCCTGTACAATCTGCTGCTAAGCCCAGAGGCTCGGGCCCACTACTGTCTCACAAGCTTTGCCAAGGGACGGCTACTCAAGGTGGGAAGATCCCCCCATACCAGTCCCCACAGCCCCAGTACTGCCTCACCCCATCCCACCCCGACTCCCTGATGTTTTTTGCCCATGCACCTCAGCCCCAGCCCTCTTTCCAGACGTTGGGCCTCAGATGACACAGCAGCTAGTGGGATATGGGCCCCACAGGCACCCCCAGCTCAGCCTAGGCCCTCCATGTTCCTTGGCCCTCTGGCCAGCACCTGCTTCACACTGGCCTCCACTGGACACCCTTGCAGCTTCGGGCCTTCCTCACAGACACACTACTTGACCAGCTGCCCAACCTGACAGACCTGCAGAGTTTCTTGGCCCACCTGGCCCTGGCTGAAACCCATACCCCTAAGAAGGACCTGGTGTTGGAACAGGTAGGTACTGGAAAGTTAGTTGCTCAGGACCACTGCCTTCTTTGCCAATTCCTTCCTGCTACTATCTGCTTCTCTCCCCTAGATACCAGAAATCTGGGAGCGGCTAGAACGAGAGAACAGAGGTAAGTGGCAGGCTATTGCCAAACACCAGCTTCGGCATGTGTTCAGCCCTTCGGAGCAGGACCTGCGGCTGCAGGCACAAAGGTAAGACCTGCTGAGCTGGCAGAAGGGGTGGATGGGATACAGGAGGCATGGACATGAGCAAAGGTGCTCCTGTGCCCCCACCTGCCAGGCCCAATCAGGCCCTCCTGACTCCTCCTCCAGGTGGGCTGAGACCTACAGGTTGGACGTGCTAGAGGCAGTGGCTCCAGAACGGCCCCGCTGTGCCTACTGCAGTGCAGAGGCTTCCAAGCGCTGCTCCCGATGCCAAAATGAGTGGTATTGCTGCAGGTGAGGTTACCCTAGGACCTTGGACCCTTTAGCCCCACTCCCAGATCCCCCACAAACACTCCCATCCTCACCAGCCCACGTGCCTGCAGGGAGTGCCAAGTCAAGCACTGGGAGAAGCATGGCAAAACTTGTGTCCCGGCAGCCCAGGGTGACAGAACCAAGTGAAGGCTGCAGATGCTAAGGGCCGGCCACATGTGCCAAGGGAATCTTCCCAGAAAGCGGCCCTGAACCTCAGGATCTCGATCCGGCCTCTGCCAGAGCCTCAGTCTTCCTGGTGGTCATGACAGCGGGGCCTGACAGAGTTGCTGACCCATCTCCCCCCACCACCCCCATCGAAGGCTCCCGACTTCCTGCCCCACCAGGCGGGTAGGCTGAGGGCGCTGCCTCAGCAAACTGGGACGGGAGGCCTGGGTGGAGGTGAGGGCCGGATGTGGGGACCCTCTTCCTCTAGCACAGTAAAGCTGGGTTCCAGAAACACGCCTGTCTCCGTGTTGTCGTAGTCGCTGTTGAGAGTGGGGTGAGGGGGATGAATGAGGGAAGGAAAGGAAGGGCGGGGTCTCTGCGCGAGCGCCTCCCACCCTCGCCCCGCGCTGCCTGCGGGCGAACATAGTCCCTGTGCCCAGGTTTCCGTTGAGCCGCTCTCCTCTGCTCTTTCCCGCCGTCCTGCATCGTTCCGGGGGGCGGCGCCGAAGTTGGGGCCCGCCCTGCAGCTCCGCCCGCTTCGCGCTCCTCAGCGCCCAAAGCCTGCCGAGGACCAGGCCTGACTGGGCCATGTCGGCGGAGCCTGAGCTCATTGAGCTGCGAGAGCTGGCACCCGCTGGGTGTGTCGGCCCGGGCCGCACGCGGCTGGAGCGTGCCAACGCGCTGCGCATCACGCCGGGCACCGCGCGCAACCCCTCAGGGCAGCAGGTCCCTGGCCGCGGCCACCGCTTCCAGCCCGCGGGGCCCACCACGCACACGTGGTGCGACCTCTGCGGCGACTTCATCTGGGGCGTCGTGCGCAAAGGTCTGCAGTGCGCGCGTGAGTAGAGGCCCCGCGCGCCAGCGAGAGCGGAATGGGCAGCCAAGGGGCAGCGCCATAGCTGCGGGTGAAGTCGCAGCGGAGGGGGTCGGCGGGGACGGTCCCCGCGGACCAGGTCCCCGCGGACCAGGTCCGTTACCTTTGCCGCATCACGGAGGAGAGTGCGGAAAGGTGGTTTATACCTTGTCGCGTTCCATCTGCGTCTGGGCACAGTTGAGCAGAGGCAGTTGCCTATGAATAACAAGGTGCTGATTTCAGGTTTATCTTTAAAGTGCCTTGGCTCTTCTATAGAAAGCCTTTATGCCTACTATCCTCTGAGCCCCTATTCCCAGGTCTGCCTCTTCCCAAAGATTCTCTCGCTGTCTCCCCCTCCAGAATCCCTGGGGTGAAGAGAAGTTATCTATGGGAGAGGGCCTGGAAAAAGTTAGAACTTTGAGTGGGCCTCCTTTGAGTACAAGCAGGGATTTTGTTCAGTCTTTATTTAGCAAACACCAGTTTTGGGCCTAGTGAACCAGGTGCTAAAACACAGCCACATACTCAGCACTCCTTCTACCCTCCTGGGAATCACCAGCAACCAAAGGTTGCTCTTCCACTGGCTATACACCAGCTAGAATCACCTGTGACACTTTTTTTTTTTTTTTTTTTAAAGATGACCGGTAAGGGGATCTTTACCCTTGACTTGGTGTTGTCAGCACCACGCTCAGCCAGTGAGCCAACCGGCCATCCCTATATGGGATCCGAACCCGGGGCCTTGGTGTTATCAGCACCGCACTCTCCTGAGTGAGCCACAAGCCGGCCCACCTGTGACACTTTTACAACCCTTCAACTCCCTCCCTGGATCCTACCTCAGACCTGTTTAATTGATTGCTGGGAGTGAGCCCTACGCATCAGTAACTTTTATTTTATTTTATTTTAAAAGATGACCGGTAAGGGGATCTTAACCCCCAGCTTGGTGTTGTCAGCACCACACTCACCCAGTGAGCTAACCGGCCACCCCTATATGGGATCCGAACCCGAGGCCTTGGTGCTATCAGTACCGCACTCTCCCGAGTGAGCCACGGGCCGGCCCGCATCAGTAACTTTTAAAACTCCCCAGATCACTCTAATGTGCAGCCTGGGTTGAGAATCACCGCTCTGGCCCATTTGGGAACTTAGAGATGGTGACCCAGGTCTGTGTGTGTATGGAGACCCTCTCATCCAGTACAGGAGTTCATCTGGAGGGAGCACAGGAGTTGTGACAGAATACAAAGAATGAACAAGGGCTGGGACATTGCAGTGTTCTCATGGAGAAATGAAGTGACCGTAAAGATGAGAAACAGGACAATTCAGGGGTGTATCAGAGGTAGAGACAGGGGAGGAATGGATGAGTTTAAGTTTATGCTTCAAACAATTGAGGGAATAGTGGCAATTTTTGCTGAGATGAGGAACCTTGGTGAGGGTAGGGGTGGAAGAAAAGTGAGTTAAATATTGGCCAGGTTCACTTGAAATGTCTATTAGACATCCAAGTGAAGGTACTGGCACATATCTGATCTGAGGGGGTTGGCCGATACTGGAGCCTTGGAGCTGGGGAAGGTGAGTGTAGACAGATCAGGGCGGTGATCAGGACTGAGCCCCGGACATCACCGCTGGATCTGGAAATTGAGACAGAAGCAGCAAAGGGAGCTGAGCAGTAACTACAGGGAAGTGGGAGGAAAACCGGGAGAGTGTGGCCCAGGAGTAAAGGGGAGCGAGCATCAAACGATGCTGAGGTGAGAATGGAGAATGGAGCGCTGTATTCCATTCGGCAGTACACAGATCGCTGAGGACCCTGACCAGGGCAGTTTTCTGGAAAGGCAAGCCCGACTGGAGTGGGTAGAGGAGAGAGTGAAAACGAGGAAGCAGAGTGTATGTAGACCAGTGTTTCTGGTCTGGGGGGAGTGGAGACAGATGGCAATTAGAGGAGGATTTAGGTTAAAGGTTTCTGTTTTTCAAGTAAGGGGCAGAGGAAGAGGCTGACAATGCTTTGCGGAAGGGGGAAGCTCTACTGCTAAGCGCTAGAGATCCAGCTGTTGAGCAGGCCTGGATGCCTAGCCGCATGAGGCCTTCCAGACAGTTTTCAGACACCCGGTAACCAACACTAGAATCTGTGTGGCAGTGAGCGGTAATGCAGAGCTTGGCGGGCAACAGCCCTCACCCCAGGGCTTCCCTTTAGAACCTGGGACGCTTCCCCAAGCTTGAGCTGGGGATCCTCCGCCTCACGGCCAGGCCTCTCTGCAGACTGCAAGTTCACCTGCCACTACCGTTGCCGCGCACTCGTCTGCTTGGACTGCTGCGGGCCCCGGGACCTGGGCTGGGAACCCGCGTTGGAGCGGGACACTAACGTGGTGAGCGCGGGGCCTGTGAGCAGACGGGCGGGGTGGGGACGCGCGGGCTGGCTATCCACAGCGCAGGAGGTTCCCGAGGGCCGCGCGGGCGCTACGCGCAATGAGCGTTCTTACAGCCGACTTCCGGGTGGCTGAGAGGGGCTAATTCTTGGCCCGGGCTCGGACGGAGTGGTGTCCGGGTGCTGACACCACGCGGACCCCACAGGCCGCAAGCCGACCACTACTGAGGCTAGCCCAGGCTGGGCGCACGCGCACTTTCATCACCTGCTTCCGGTCCAGGGGATGACGTTGTGCACATGCGCACACGCTCCGACACGTTCCCCGTAGGAGGTGGAGCCTGCGAGGTGGAACTGAGTTGAGCTGCCTGGGCGATGAGGTCATAACTGAGGCTAGGGTGTGGGTCCCCGCCCCTCGATGTTCCTTCCCCAATGAGACAAGGCTAGATCCCGCCTGTCTACGTTTCAGTCTTAACTGGTGCGGCGCGGCGCTGGCCCCGGCGCACGCGTACACTGACACGCGCACACGCCCGCACGCGTCCGGGGCGGTGGTTGGGAGCTACGGACGCAGGGGACTAGGGGACAGGGTGGGCGCGGCGATGGGGGAGGCGGAGACGCCTTCTTTCGAGATGACCTGGAGCAGCACGACCAGCAGTGGCTACTGCAGCCAAGAGGACTCGGACTCGGAGCTCGAGCAGTACTTCACGGCGCGTACCTCGCTGGTTCGCAGGCCGCGCCGGGACCAGGTGGGAGCCAGGGGTTGCCGGCGGCGGGCGGGGTGCGGTCGCTGGAAACCCGCCCCTCCCCGGTAAGTTGCCGCGTCGAGAGTTGGTGGACAGCCCCACCCTCCCGTCAGCGTGGCTTCCTGCCGGTTTCGGCGGGATGCCGGCCCGCGGAACCCAGTGTCGGGTTCTCAGTTCAGGGTAAAGCCCCGATTCCAGCGCCTCGGTATTGGGTGCCGAGGCCTCCTTGCTTTTTCTGTTACAGACCGGTCGAACCAGGGGAAGCAACTTCGTAGCTTGGGGTAGGCCAGAGACGGGCATTATCCACTTATGACTAAAGCTGCCTGCACAGTCTGGACTAGCACCTGGATTTCTGCGTTGGAGCACTACCACTCCCCCCCCCCATCCCCCAGGGAACGGGAGGAGGAAGTGGAGAGGGAGGAGTCCTCGCTGTGAATTGGGAAATATGTTTAGAAGACAGGAGGAGGGAGTTTAGCGTCATCGTACACTACTAGATGGAGCCAGCTGAGTCCCCACCGCTTGTCAGTCCTAGCCTGTCACCAGCTGCTGGAGTGTGGAGGATTCTGATCCCCTTTCTAGGGTGGATCTGGAGAAAGGGGATTTGGGAATGGAAAGGAAGGAAGCCTTTTTTGGACGGTAAGCATTCAGGAGCACTTAATCCACAAGAGGGGGGAAGGCTAGTTTGTAAAATGCCCTGAGAGAGGTGGAAAGAGATCCAGGTTACTAATCCAGGACTGTAAGGTGTAGGGAGCTAGCGCAGCTGAGACTCTCAGAGTCTCCTAGGTGTCCCCATTATCAGATACTTCTTTGTCAGGTGCCACAGGTGTGACTACCAGGCTGAGATAACTGTTCCGGGCCAGTATACCTCAGGGGAGGATCTAGGCCTGGGCATCAGGAAGAAGAGATGGGGACCATGAATCTCAGTATACCTGGCAACAATGGGGCAGAATTCCTTACTTGAGCCAAGAAAATGGAGTTGTGGATAGTGCTTTAGATGAAATTTTATAAAATTTCTACAAAAGAGATGGTGCTCAGCATCCCAAAATCTCAGCCCAGAGCTTGGGTGCAAGGTTCAAATGTGGACTCCTGGGATTGTCTCCATGTCACTTAGGCCACAAACGTTTTCCATTGTGGAAAGGTGGGGAAACCACAAGACACTAACCAATTGAAAAGGAGGCTGAGAAGTCCCAAGTAGTACGTAAAATAAAACCATCAGTCACTATGGACAGTGATTGAGTCAAGGGTGGGTCGCTATGGTGCAGGAGAAGGGGAAATTCCATGGTTCTATGCGTGCCTCTGGGAGGGCTGTTGGAATCCTCTTCCAGCAGGCAGCTTAGGAAACAAAAACTCTTCCTCTTCTAGGATCCTGGCAGGACAGTGCAGAGCATCTAGTTCAAGTCCCTTGTTCTAAGAATGAAGATACTGAGGGAGATTCACCTGGAGAAGGGAGGGGGCTCTGGAACTGAGGTCACTGTGTCCTTGTTCAGGGCTCCTGGATAAACCAGGAAGGGAAGAGAAAGGAGCAAGCTTTCTCATGCCCAGGCTGGAGCTCAGAGCGATCACAAGGAAGGGAAATAAGATTGTGCCCTCCCAGTTCTGTAAACAGAATGTTCTTCCTTCTCTTCTGAAAGTCTGTTCAGTGTCCTCCTGCCCCTAGCACTCCTTCCATCTGGGCACTCCTTCCTATTGGGCACTTCTTCCTGTCCCAAGTCCTCTCCTTGGGCCTGAACAAACACATCCACCCTTCATTCCCAGCCTCCAGCTTTCATTTTACCCCGTAGGTCCCCCATTTTCCAGGTCCCACACCATTTGTTCTTACTAGCCTGACAGGGTTGCCCACTGTCCCCAACAAGGTTTCTGCTGGGTTTTCACTCCTCAATGCTCTCCTCCATCCACACCTTTGGAAACTTGGGGAAGCAAATGGGCTTCAGTTCCTACCCCTCCCCCATTACTTTTTTCCTGTGAGACCCCAGCCTCAGTCCTCGGCCTGCTGGCTGCTGAATAGCAGTAGGTTCTAGGTAAAGAGCATACTGGTAGGGCCAGCCCACAGCTCACTTGGGAGAGTGTGGTGCTGATAACACCAAGACCACGGGTTCAGATCCCTATATAGGGATGGCCGGTTAGCTCACTTGGGAGAGTGTGGTGCTGATAACACCAAGACCACGGGTTCAGATCCCTATATAGGGATGGCCGGTTAGCTCACTTGGGAGAGTGTGGTGCTGATAACACCAAGACCACGGGTTCAGATCCCTATATAGGGATGGCCGGTTAGCTCACTTGGGAGAGTGTGGTGCTGATAACACCAAGACCACGGGTTCAGATCCCTATATAGGGATGGCCGGTTAGCTCACTTGGGAGAGTGTGGTGCTGGCAACACCAAGTCAAGGGTTAAGATCCCCTTACCAGTCATCTTTTAAAAAAAAAGAGCATACTGCTAAAAGGCCAGGGTCTCCACATTGCTCCCTCATCTGTCCTCATTTGTTCCCATCAGATGGTTTAAGCAGTTTAGGGGCCTCCAAGGGAGCAGTCAGGGAGAACATTGGCTGTCTTGGGCTCAGAACTGAGTACAAGAACATTCTATAGGAGTGTCTGCTAGGAATTCCTCTGGGGCAGGGCATTGGTGAGTGGTGATCTCAGCTGTGTCTGTGACACTCCCATTCCAGTGAGGGTCTGTCTGACGTCAACAGGAAGTAAGGCTGATATAGTGGGGCCAAGGGAGTTTGGTAGAACAAAGTTAATTCAAGAGTCCTGGCTGCCCTGGCCCGCACTCTATCCTTCTGGCAAGAATCCAGTCCCATGGATGGGGGGCTGAGTGGTGGAGCTACAATCTTTGGGTTAAACCTCCAAACAGTGTGGGAAGGTGCAGAAGCCTACCTGCTTGGCACTTGTAGGATAGGCTCTACCAGGAAGCTGCCTGCACACCTCTGACAGATTGAAGCCTGGCCTGAAGTCGCCTTTTGTGCAGAGCAGGTCAAGATTAAACATTTCACAGTGATTTCGTCACTATGTCTGAGATATGGAGGGTTGGCCCCAAGTACCCCACCGAGGGGTGTTATAGAGGTTACCCTTCTCCTTCTGCCCACTGGTGGCTGTACTGTTGAGGTGCATTAGTCGCCACACCTCCCACCCTGCAGTGGGTCATGGCCCTGTGCTAGGACAGAGTGGGAAAAATGGGCTGCCTTCTCCAGGACAAACCCTGACTCCAACCCAGCTAGGGTGCTGGAATCAGGCTGTGCAGTTGATACATGGTTTTACTTTAAACAAGAGTCCCTCCTCAAAGTCCCTCATCTTTTCCTGGCCCCTGGCCATTTGCCTTCAGTTGCCCCTGGTTCTATGGTATCCCTAGGGCCATGTCCAGTGCGAAGGCCCTAGGTAGGCAGCAGAGAGAAACTCAATGATACTGCCTTTGCTGTCTCCACCCAACATGTGCAGAACCAGGAACAGTGATGTGTTTAAGGCAGTTACCTGCTGGGCAGCTATGTATATCAGACGGGGCCAAAGGTAGTTGGTTTCCAAGGGCTGCCCCAGAGGCCATTTTTCAGAGAAGCCCTGGATTTCCTCAAGGGCCCTATGTCCATGCTGGCCTATCTTTCAGGACGAGCCTGTGGAGTGGGAGACGCCTGACCTTTCTCAGGCTGAGATTGAGCAGAAGATCAAGGAATACAATGGCCAGATCAACAGCAACCTCTTCATGAGCCTGGTGAGTTGACTGTTCAGGAAGGGAGTGTGGGGAGGGGCAGGAACCCAGCCGTATGCCTAATGCCCAGAAGTATTCTTCGGTGGGCCCAAGCAGTGAGTCCCACCCTCACCCCAAGTGGACTGACAGTACCCTAGTGTGTTTTATCTCACCTGGAACCTACCATCGTGGTTTTGTTTCTCTTTCACTTTAGAACAAGGATGGCTCCTACACAGGCTTCATCAAGGTTCAGCTGAAGCTGGTACGCCCTGTCTCAGTGCCCTCCAGCAAGAAACCTCCCTCCTTGCAGGATGCCCGGCGAGGCCCAGGGCGGAGCACAGCAGTGAGACGCCGCACCTCATTTTACCTGCCTAAGGATGCTGTCAAGCACCTGCATGTGCTGTCCCGCACACGGGCACATGAGGTCATCGAGGCCCTGCTGCGCAAGTTCTTGGTGGTGGATGACCCCCGCAAGTTTGCACTCTTTGAGCGGGCAGAGCGTCATGGCCAAGGTAAGCTTCCCATCCTACTCCACCCTGTGTGAGGATATATATGCATGCTCCTGTGTGTGCAGGGGTTGAGGCAGCTGGACCTGTCTCTGAGCATACACCTGCTTCCCCCTGCCTTGCCCTCAGTGTACTTGCGGAAGCTGTCAGATGATGAGCAGCCCCTGCGGCTGCGGCTTCTTGCAGGACCAAGTGAGAAGGCCATGAGCTTCGTCCTGAAGGAGAATGACTCTGGGGAGGTGAACGTGAGTACACAGTCCTCCTTAGTTTCTTGGTTGTCACTGGACAGGACTGATGAGCTGTAGCTACAGTAAGGTTGGAAGAGGAATTGGGCTCGACTACAAGCCCTGCAAAACCTCTCCAGGAGTGGTTGTAACTGAAGTGAAGGCTTCCAGGTCACTCATGCCAAGACCTAGGGCCTGTCCCAAGCAGCCAGGAACAATTGTCTTGCTGCTTTGCTCTTTCTTGGTATGGAAAATCCTCTGGAGATTGAGAAGTCTATCCGACAGCATGGTGAGACCTCCCTTCAGGCATTAAGACTTTTTATCAGGAAGCTTTCTGGCTCCAAGGTATTAGACCCATGAAGTGGGATTAGACTCAGGGTGTGGGCATGACCTGTCCAAAAGTAACTGAGAACATCTGGTTTGGTTGCCTCTCAGTGAGGTCACTGTTTTGTAGGGCCCATCTTTTATACAAACTGTGGTTGCAGATGCTAGCACAGACCACTCAGGCAAGAGCCTGACATCAGAAGGCCCTATCCTAGCTTGTGTGACTATGATGTATTGGTCTTCTCTGGGAATGGTCTGCTGGCTTGACCATCCCTGCTGCAGCCTGTGTACCTCCCCTCTACCCCTTGCAGTGGGACGCCTTCAGCATGCCTGAACTACACAACTTCCTGCGCATCCTGCAGCGGGAAGAGGAGGAGCACCTCCGCCAGATCCTGCAGAAGTACTCCTATTGCCGCCAGAAGATCCAAGAGGCCCTGCACGCCTGCCCCCTGGGATGACCTCTTGTATCCCTGGGTGGAAGGAGGAGAGTAGGCAGCGCCAAGAGCGTGCTGTGTGAGTGTGACAGGGCCCATGGGACCTGAAGAATGAGTGTGCATGGAGGCCCTCCCCTACTGGGGAAATGAGCTCAGAGAACAGGAAGGAGCTCGCCCCCTGTGTCCACCAGTGGGTGTATCAGGGCATGGCTCTGTACCCCTCTGGCTCTCGTGTATTGGGTCATGGTGGGCCAGGGCTGCCCTGGGAAGCTGCTCCATGCTTGCAGCAGGGATGGAGCAGACAAGAAATCTTAATTTGTGTCTCAGGTATGAGAATCTTGGAGACCCTACAAATAGAACGGATCATGTTTGCAGGGGTGAGGGACCTCATCTATGGAGAAAGGCTGTATGTTTGGGTCTTGGGTAGGGTCTCAGGATAACCCTATCAGAGCCAAGGGTGGGTGCTCAGAATAAGGCAGGCATCAAGGAAGAATCTAGGTTTCTCTCTTCATTGCCTGCTGGCTCACAGTGCCTCAGTGCCTCCAAGGAGGATGTCCCTGGGCCAGGGTCTGTGTGAATGTGGGCACTGGTCCAAGTCCATACCTTGTTTGCCAGCCAGTCAAAGCCAGGGTCTCTCCCTCAGGTATTTTGATGAAGTGCGCGAATGTATGTAATGTTTTGTGGCCTCAGCTGAATGCCTCCTGTGGGGAAAGGGGTTGGGGTAACAGTCATCATCAGGGCCTGGGGCCTGAGAGAATTGGCTGAATAAAGATTAAGAATACTCCTGCTTTTGGACTCTATTATTGGCCCACAGCTGCAGTTGCCCCTTCAGCCAGTGGTTGCCAGGCGTGTGATGGACAGGCTCATACGGTATCCTTTGCCAGGTCACCTTGAGACCAGTTAGTGAAGATGTAGTATGCTTATGTACTCAGCCATCACTCAGCACCCAGGGGTTCAGGTCGTGGTGGAGGCTAAAATAAACTGCAGTTTAGGGAAACCATGCCCTTAACACACACACCAAGATGTGGGAGAAGCTGTGGCATAAGCCCTTCACCAAATATTTATTGCACTGCTACTGTGAACAGGACACAACTCATGACACCGAGGGTACAGCTGTTTACAATTCTTGTTTTATGAAGCATGCATTCTGGTGGGTTTGGAAAGAACACTGAATTTGAAATTCTTCAGGCCTGAATGTAGCTCTACATGCGTCCAATTCCTTAATTTTCCTTAGGCTCGGTTTCTTCACATGCGACTGTGACGATCACAAAAACACGGTTGTGAAAATAGAAGCCAAACCTTAAGGGGTAGGGGAACCCCGCGGCTTGGCCTGGGTCAGGCACGAAAGTGCTGGTTTGAGAAGCCCTGGTGGTTGAGCAGGCCCGCTGAACCTAAGCTCTGGTGGTCGCGGACGCAGGAGCCTCGATACACGTCCCAGAGAACAGGAAGACACAACCACCGCTCTGCTGGGTGGGAGCTGCCGGGGCTGGAGAGAAGTTGGCCTGGGACCTGGGGTCTCGCAGCGCGTGCTGGGATGCCCGGGGTCTGAGGGCTGCTATTGGCCCACCCCACGGGCCGACGAGAACAACAGCCAATCAGAGGAGGGAGCGTGCGGAAGCGGAAGTGAGGTTTCCGGGGAGACAGTCGAGCCTGCGGAAAGCGGCGGCGGCTGCGGTACCTGGGAGCCGATGCTGGGGCAGGGCATGGTGGCGCCGACTGCGCTGTGAGAACGGAGCGGCCGCGGGGTCGCCATGCGCTGGCGGCCCTGACATGGGCGCCAGCGGCTCCAAAGCTCGGGGCCTATGGCCCTTCGCCTCGGCGGCGGGGGGCGGCGGCCCAGAGGCGGCGGGCGCTGAGCAAGCTTTGGTGCGGCCTCGAAGCCGAGCCGTTCCCCCCTTCGTATTCACGCGCCGCGGGTAAGGGCGTGGGTTCCGCCCCGGGGAGGACAGGTGGGTGGCTGGGCGTCCCGCCCCAGGGGTAGCTCCTGCCCTTCTCATCCCCTACAGCCGAGCCAGGACGACTCTCATATTTTGGGCCACCATCGGAGCAAGGGGTGGGAAAAGCTGGCCAGTCGGCTTCTGGTGGCCTGGCCGCTCTATTGGTCTTATTAGGGAAGAGTGGGCCTGAGGCTTGTCCTTGGTCAGGCTCTCAGCGGGGTAAAACTAAGATAAGGCTTCCATGAGACTGCAGGACCTCTTCCTTTCATCCCTTCCATCTTATCCTGCAAGTTGAAGGCTCCTAGCCTCCCCCTCCCCCAGTTCTCCCAAGGGGAGAATGACGTGTTAGGCTGCTTCCTTTCCCCACAGTAGTGGGGTTGGACCTCCGAAGGTAGTGGCTGGGAAAGCAGAGCTGGGCCCCAAAGTGTTGGGGGTGAGGCTGGGGAAAAACCCTCACCCAGTTATCTTCTCCAGATCTGGAGCGCTGACCTATTCCCTTTTCCCCCCAGGGGCCCAGACAGGAACACCAGACTGTCCTGGCCCTAGTGGGCTGCTGGGGACAGGCACTCCCCATGCTGGAGATTTGGCTGTCGATACCAAGGAGACACAACAGTGGCAATTTGGCTGCACCAGCTACTGGGGGTGGGGGGATGTAGCCTTCTTCCCTTTAGGCTTCTTCATAACTTAAGCATCTTTGGGGGCCGGCCTGTGGCTCACTCGGGAGAGTGCGGTGCTGATAACACGGGTTCGGATCCCATATAGGGATGGCTGGTTTGCTCACTGGGTGAGCGTGGTGCTGACAACACCAAGTCAAGGGTTAAGATCCCCTTACCGGTCATCTTTAAAAAAAATAATAATAATAACTTAAGCATCTGCCATCTCAGTCTTTGGCACTGGGCCAGCAGTATCTTCTAGGGTGAGACCAACATGCCCAGGCCATGACTCCACCCACTCTAGAAGTCCTGGATGAAGGCAAGGGCCTGATATTGGAATGGTTGTTCTTGCTGAACAAACCAGTAATGAGAACTGGCTTTGGCTGCCTGGATAGTGTTCTCTGGTGTGGCCTCTTTATTTGGGGATCTGACAGAGTAGCACTGGCCATCACCCCACTCCCCACTTCCTTCTAGTAGACCCCAAACCCCATGCAAATGATTCTCCAGGTATATTATCCTCTCTTCTTCCCACCAAGATTGTTCCTGCCCACTTGGGCTTGGGCATATTTCCCTGTGGTCTGTGGCATTTGCCATGACCAGGTGTGAGTCTCCAGCCCAGCCATTTCTCCTCTGCCTCTACACAGCTCCATGTTCTATGATGAGGATGGGGATCTGGCTCATGAGTTCTATGAGGAGACAATCGTCACCAAGAATGGGCAGAAGCGGGCCAAGCTGAGGCGGGTGCATAAGAATCTGATTCCTCAGGTGAGGGGCTGGGCAGTGGTCACAGAGACTACAACAGGTGTATGAAGGTAGACCCAGATGGGGTCTGTTGTCATGGTGGGGGCTCTTGGGGGAGGAGCTGGGAGGAACAGGAAGGCTTCCTGGAATAGAAGCCCTGAGCTGAGTCTCATTAGCCTCTCTTTCTATGGCAGGGCATCGTGAAGCTGGATCCCCCTCGCATCCACGTGGATTTCCCTGTGATCCTCTATGAGGTGTGAGCCTGGGGGGTAGCAGACACAAGCACCCCCTGCCCCAGCAAGAAACCTCCAGGCTCAAGATGTGTCTTCCATTGAGGAGCCCAGGCTGGAGCCACAACCCTGAATAAACTCCGTTGGCCCAGAACCTTCAACTGCAAGCGAGGCAGTTCCACGGTGTTGGTTGGGTATTGGTTTGTGTATGGACAAGAGGTGGTTGGTGGCTGGCAAAGGCTAATGGCAGACTTACCAGCTCATCCTCCCCAGCCACCCCTCCAAGAAGCATGGCAAGGCATATGTCAGTCAGGAATGCCTGGTTCCTGGTTCCTTGACTGGCCTGCTTTTTTCCAAGCTTGCCTGGCATCGAGCCCTGCTAGAGGCTACAGCACTTTACAAGCAAGGTCTGGCTTCTTCCAACCCCTGGGCTGTGTGGGCTGTACACAAGTGGGAACTTCCTTTCCCTTACTTCCCTTACCCCCAGTTGGAGCATTTCAGCCATTTGCTACCTCGATTCCTCCTGTGGACAGAGGCTGGGGGCAGTGCCAGCCTGATTTTTCCCACTTACCTGCCCATCTGTTCCTACCTTCAGATGGATGGACAGTTTGCTGGCTGTTGGTAGGAGTGGGGGCTGGTGTGGGAGGCTTCTCCCTCCACCCAGGCTGATCCCTCCCTACTGTAACTACTTGTTGCCCCCTCTACCCCTCCCCCACTTGAGAGGGTACAGGCTGGGGTCAGGATGGGCTGTGGTTGCCTGTGCCTATGGGGAGTTGCCTCAACCCACCTATCCTGTCTAATCCCCCTTGCCTTTGCACCAGGCCCCCCAGCCCCCCATGGGAGGAGACTGTCTGCCATCCTGTGTTTAGGGACAACACCCTAGGGCTGGTGCCAATAACTATAAGGAGCCCACCACCCTTTCACCTACAGTGTCCCCACTCTAGGATCAGTCAAGGGAAAGTACTGGAGCCCCGGGGTAGGGACAGAAAGGAGGGAAAAACCATAAAAGGAATACTTAAAATGTGAAGGTTATAATAGTCTAGTCCATGATGATGTTGGGGCAGAGTCTGACTTTTTTTTTTTTTAATTCCTTACTGTGTAAACTCTGTGCTTCTAGAATGTGGGAAATGGCTTGGGGAGGGTGGCCTCCAGCCAAGGAAGACTTGTGTTATTTGTTCAATTTCAATAAAATTATTTGTAGATCCTGCACATGAGAGTGGCATCCTTTGGGCCTGTGAATACCAGCTGGGCTCAGTAGGTAGGCCTGGGCCTAGACTCTCACAGGTCCTCCATCTCCAGCAAGGCCCAAGGGTAAGCTTGAGCCCAGCCTGTAGCCATCCCAGCCCTGGCTAGCAGGTGGTTGTGTTCATACAGACCTCACCACAGGCCCCCTCAGCATGCAGGGGCCACTCATCTATTTTGTTCAATGTGGTAGGGACCCCTGGAATCAAAAGGCCATGGTATGATTCATGAGAGATTGGCCCCACCTGCTTGACCTAAGGTGAGAGTGTGACTCCAGATAGTTCTGGAATAGTTGTCCCGGCCCCAGCACTACCAGCTGACCCCAAGTGACCCCAAGTGGAAACAATGGAGGTCAGGACAGTACTTCCCCACTTCCTCCCACTGGGCTGTGCTCACTTCCATCCCAGGCTGCGCTCCATAGAACTCAAAGGCCCAGCCTTAGATAGACAGCAGCCAGATAGGTGCCACACACCCTTGGCCTACTGCCAGGCTCTTGCAGCTCAAACTCACCTGCCTCCTCCCAGGCTTGTCTGTGGACACTACTGAGAGAGTGAACCCAGGGCTTCTGTTCTAGCAGGCAAGGCTCAGACCCCCAATACTTTCTCTGCTCTCTGCTGTCCCTGTCTTCTCACCTGCCCCCTACCCCAGGTGAACATTCTGCCTTCTCAGAGCCTGCTATGTATGAGGCAGCTTCTCTACCAGGCCTAACCTTTGGCCATCAATCCAACTCCCAGTTAGGAAGGAGCGAGTTCAGGAATGCAGGCTTATGGGCCTGGAGAGTTGTCATGCCAATCAACTGGAGGTTTGAACTTGCTGGCTCTGGAGCAAGATCACCCTGTGAAGCCTGGACTACAGTTCTGTGGGGCACCTTCCCACCTGCTCTATAAGATGCAAGGCATAAGTCATCCTCCACTGTCCCCCCCACTGGCTGTTGAAGGGCCAGGGCTCTCCCATGCTAGATGGCATACTATCTCACACCACCACTGTCCCATCATGGGGGAACTCCCTGTGCTGGGCCTGCCCAGCTGACCCCGAAGCTGGAAACAATGGCAGTTAGGGCAGTACTTCCCCACTCCCTCCCCCTGGGCTGTGCTCACTTCCTTCCTTCTGGCTGCCTGAGGAAGTGTCCCTTCCCTGTGACAGTCTGGCCCGGTGTTTGTTTCGCCAGGGGTCCCCACCCTTGGAGCTTCCAAAGCCTCTGTCTCTTTTGAAGCCAGCACAGTGGTACAGGGACACTGCATCCTCCCCTGCCATGTCCTGAACTCCTTGGTCCTCAGGACCAGACTCCAGAATATGCATCCACCTCCCCCAGCCCTTCCCACTGCCTTCTGTTAGGAGAGAAGCCTCTGGGCGTTGGGGAAGTGGGCCGCTGGGGTGCTGAGGGGTAGGCTTAGGGTGATTTGAGGGTAGGCAGATTTGTCAGCACCTCTGGAGAGGTCTGCTGGAAGCCTGCTGAAGTCTTCCGTGGGGCCAGCCACATTATGAGCACTCCCTCTCACAAGAACATACCCCTTTCCTCACTCATGTTGTAAAGAGCCCCCTACTTTCTGCAGCAGACTCAGTGACATCTAATAATGTCCTCCAGGAGGAGACCACCCTGCAGAACCCTTTCAGCCCCTGCCCCTAACCCCCATCCCACACAGTTGCACACATCAACACATTGTCCTCTCTGTCACACTTGGGATGCTTCCTCTCTTAGTGGAAAAAAATTGACTCAGCTCCTGGAAGTCCCCCCCCCACACACACACACCCCTGCCTCCCCACTGGTTCCTTTCTTTGGTACCTGCTCTGAGAGACCATTAGATAAACACCCTCCAAATAGTTTGACTTTCAAAAGCACCACGACTTGGGCCCCTCTTCTCACTCCCTACTGGATTTGAAGATGGGCCCCAACCCCAAGATTGGGGAAAAGAGATTCCCCAGTTTTGTTTTGTTTTTTTTCAAAAGATGACCGGTAAGGGGATCTTAACCCTTGGCTTGGTGTTGTCAGCACCACGCTCACCCAGTGAGCTAACCGGCCATCCCTATATGGGATCCGAACCCGTGGCCTTAGTGTTATCAGCACCGCACTCTACCGAGTGAGCCACGGGCCGGCCCAGAGATTCCCCAGTTTTAAAGAAGTTTGTGGGCATGGGGGAGAATGGCACCTGAGCCTGGGCCCCTAGCCTTCCTGTCACCTGGTGCAGCTGGTGTGGCCAGATCCTACTCAGGGGAAGGGTGGAGAGGGGAGTCAGTCAGCCAGCAGGGCATGCCGGAGGGAAACAGGGTCAAGGCGATCTCCCCCTCTAATCCACCCGCCCCCCCCCGCCCCTGTTCCTGGCCCTTTCCTCTCAGAGGGGCAGCAGGAAGTGAGGAGAAAGGGCTGGGATGATGGGAGGCGGGAGTGGGTGGGAGGGAATGGAGTTTATCAAGTCCCCGGCGGGCTGCCCAACGGGCAGCAGCTGGCGTAAGCAGCCTGGCTGGAGAAGCACACCCCAGGAAGGAGGAAGGCCGCCGACCTCCTGGGGAGACAGACTCCCACACAGGTGAGATCAGCGCAGACCGCCGACGGCTGGTCAACACCTCCATAGGTGCGCTCGAAGCACCGGTACCTCCCTCCTCCCAGGCGCCCGGTCGGGGAAGGGGCTGGCGGCGCAGACGCGGGCCCTTTGGAGAGTTGACTCCCGCACAGGGGAACGGATCTAGGAAGAGGCGAGGAGGTCTCGTACAGGACTCGCAGTGTTCCAGCTCTATGCCTGCCTCCCACCGGGAAGGGCTTGGGGGTGTAAAGGCTCAGAAAACGGGATGGAGTCCCCGGGAGTTCCTCCTGCCGGCTTTCCGAGGTCTGGCCAGAGACTTGTACAAGGATGGCAGCCCTCTCGGAGTTGAGAGGGAGCCCTGGAGGCTCCCGCAGGCCCCCGAGACTGGGCAGGAGAGGAAAGGTTACCAAGGATTGGCCCGCCCCTGATGCGGATCGGTTTAAGGGGGGTGCCCTACCCCCAAACCCCTCCGGCGAGCAGCCACCCACGGCCCGGGTTGCCGGGACAACCACTGCCCCGGCCCTGCCCCTGGAGGGCCAAGAGGTGGTGCTTGGCCCCCTACCCCCAGAGGGACAGGGGGTGGGGCTTCCTTTCAGACCAACGACTAGAGGAGGGGGAGCCCCGATTTGTAGGAGGCGGGGCATTACTGTCCCGAGACCAGGGATCCGCTCAAGTCAAAGTCCCTTTTTCCATACAAAGGGGCCCCGGGGCTGGGGTCTCCATTCAGGTGTGCAGAGCCAAATCTGCTGCTGCCCCCACCCAACGCCTCAAGGTCCCACAGCACCTCCTATGACTGAGCGGGTGCATGCCACCTCCTTTATTCCCTCCCTCCCACCGTCCCTTGTGCTGTGCCTTTAAGGGGCTGGCGGCGACGCGAAGCGGGGAGGACTGTACCACCGGCTGCAGGCTGTGGGGGGAAATTTCAGGCTAACTGGCGCTCGTGGTTGAGACTTTAGCAGAAAGTTCCATTTGGAAGGGCTTCAGAGTCTTAAATGGGTGGGATTCGTAGAGGATCTGGGATCCTCGAGTCCGAAACGCGGTACTAGCGGCGAAAAAGGAGAACACACCCTCCCTCCCCTACCGCGAGTCCTGCCCCGGGCCCACCTCCGCGCTGGATTCTTAAAGGGCCCGCAGACCGGGGGGGCGGAGCCAGCAGAGACGCCGAGCCGGGCAGTGCCCGGGCGAACGGCCGGAGCAGGCTGGGCTGGGCCCGGGATGGCGGTAGCCCTGGCGTGGTTCCTGGTGGCGTCCCGCGCGAGGTGAGAACGGGCTCTGCAAGCCTGGTGGTACTCCCCCCGCGGGCTGGAGTCTCAGCCCTGAGGGGCGCTCCCGGAAAGGCGCCCAGGAACCCCACCCCCACCCGGCCAGGCTCAGGCCCCACGTGCGGGGCGGGGGCGGGGTCCCGCACAAAGGCCAGGTGGAGGGCTTTCTACCCCCGACCGGCCAGGTGGGGGGCGGAGAGGGAGGCGCTTGCGCGTATTCCTGGTAGCGGTGGAGGAAAGGGCCAGCCGGACTGCCGGCGCCGCCGTGGGAGGTCCGCTGCCCCTTTGTCCCTGCGGGGCCTCCACCAAGACTGGGGGAGTGTCTGCGCTCAAGACAAAGTACTGACAGCCTCACTTCTTTCGGGGCCGGTGTTGCACAGATACCAGCCCCACTGCTGTGTTCCTTCCAGCTTCCTAGCTTCTGTATGAACTGTGCCCTGCCTTACTCAAATGCTATCGTTTCTCTGGATCACGGGTTCTTCACCGGGTTCAGGGTGAGCCTCGGGTTCAGGGCTCTCTGAAACCATACACTGGATGGTATGCAGGCATGGATGTGGCTCTAGCAGTAAGTCCATAAGCAAATTCATCCAGTTCTCAGAAGAGTCACAGATCTGACAGATTCCTGCCCAGCCATAGGCTACCTGCTAGGGGAAGGAGCCCTATGCTCCTGGCAGTGAGTCCCTGGCGCGTCTTGTTTACCCTTCAGTGGCCGGTAGTATCTGAAACGTATTACAGCCATGTGTGGTCTGAACAGCTTTGGGCACAATGCCCCAAATAGCGTGGGCTTTGGGAGCATGGGGGGGTTTGAGGTGGACACCTCCAGGGTTCTCTAGACTGACTTGTTTTCTCCCACTCTCCTCCAGTTCCTGAGCTGGTGCCAGGCAGGTGACACTTCCTGCAGTCCCCAGTATGCGGGCAGGCCCAGGCCCCACCGTCACACTGGCCCTAGTGCTGGCGGTGGCATGGGCCATGGAGCTCAAGCCCACGGCACCCCCTATCTTCACAGGCCGGCCCTTTGTAGTTGCGTGGGATGTTCCCACACAAGACTGTGGCCCACGCCACAAGGTGCCACTAGATCTGAATGCCTTCGATGTGCAGGCCTCACCCAATGAGGGTTTTGTGAACCAGAATATCACCATCTTCTACTATGACCGTCTAGGCCTATATCCACACTTTGATTCAGCCG